AAGAGAACAAGAAAAAATACATCAAATAGATTTACACTTTTTAAACTTCCTTGAAATACCAATAACCAGTAAGTAGCACCCCTGTTAACTTCTACACTGATTGTCTGGCATGTGTCAGTGTTTGTCTTTGGTGCATATGTGTGTCCATCTGTGTTTACTGAGGGACATTTGGGCCAATCTTGACTCCTGTTCCTGACATAAATCTAGCTCATGAGACTGAAAGATGAGTTTAGACTTCATGCCATTTTTCATGGGGTTCTGATTCTTGACCTCATTTCTCATTTATGCTCCTTCTCTTGCTCTTTGGATTTGGAATTTGCACCAGGACTCCCCATTCCTGTCTCTCTCCTTTTCCTTCAGAGAGAATCAGGCTTCACTCTACTGTTTCTTCATAATCCCCCATCTCATCCAGACTCTGAGGTCCCAGCATGGCCTTGCCTCACCAGCTTGTGTCCTGGCCAGACCCCTTAATTTCCTGAGATGGGTGAGATTGATCCATTATGTGCAGACACTGTGTTATCATCACGGTGATGGGAAAGCCAGGGAAAGAGGGAGGTTGCAAAGATAAACATGATTCATTTCAGTGAGTTTTTAGCCTGTTTATAAAACTACAAACAATATGTATTGATTGTCTACTAGATGTCAGATTCTGTTCTCAATGCTTTACAGGTATTATGTCATTCGATCTTCATAAAGCTTTAATAAAAGTGATACCTAGGACTCTGGGCATCATCCTTTTCCCATTTTTCAAGTAGGAAACTGAGATGGGAAGGTTAAATAATTTGCCCAAAGGTACACAGTCGGAAAGTAAGTAACGCAATCAAGCTTTGAACCCGCACTAATTCTAGAGCATCTTTAGCCATTATGCGGTGCTGCTTCCCTAATGCTAAGATAGCCAGGTAAATGGACAGTTATAGCACAAAATGTCACATCCTGGTGGTTGCTTCGTTTCTTTGTTGAACAACAGCAAATTCAATGGTTTTTTAGCTTCCTTTCTCAGTGGAAGTTGGTGTAAAAACACAGGTGCAGCAAAGAAACACCCCTTCTTTTCCTATCCCCATGTCTTGCAGTAACACACAGTCATGGAGCACCTTCTGGGTAAATGCAGTCTCTTACATTCCCAGGCCAAAGTGAGAAAATCAAAGAGGAGGGGAGGTAGGGAGTACTCAAGGAAGAGAGTTTCACAGGATATATGTGAGTGGGTGGTAGAGATCATTAAAAATCTAACAGTACTTGGCAAAACCAACGTTTATTTTAAAATCAGCTTTACATATAATTGGTATTAAAGATAATAAAGCCATAATAAGTTTTAGGAAAAGACTAACAAGCCCAGATGATTTAAAAATACAGCCACAAATTCTTTGGCACTTCTTCTAAAAGAAAGTGGAGACTAATTCCCTCCTCTTGAATGTGGGCAGGAATTAATGACTCAGTTCCAATGAATAGAATATGGCAGAAGGCATGGCGTATGACTAGGTCATAAAAGGTACCCCAGTTTCCCCCTTGCTTTCTTTCTTGGTTGCTTGCTCAGGAGGAAACTAACTGCTGTGTCTTAAGGGCACTCAAGCAGCCCTGCAAAGAGAACCACACGGAGAGGATTGGAGGCCTATGGCCAACAGCCACGTGAGTGAGCCTTCTTAGAAGCAGGTCCTTTTGTGCCAATCAAGCCTTCAGCTGACTGCAGCCCTAGCCAATATCTCAACTGAAATCTCATGGAGAAGCCTGAGCCAGAACCATCCAACTAAGCCACTCCCCAATTCTTGACACACAGGTACTGTGAGATAGATGATTATTGTTTTAAGCCAATAAATTTTGGGGATAATTTGTTAAACAGCAACAAATAGGTAATATGGGGAACCAATAAGGAGGCAGTCACAAAACACTGGAGTGACATCATCATCATTGTTGTCATTGCATTCATTGTGGGCTTGATAGGCACCAGAGATAGAGCAGGTCACAGCATTCTATGCATTGTGACTTAATCATCACAATTCTAGAAAGTGGGTACTATTAGTATTCTCTTTATTTAGATTAGGAAATAGAGGCACAGAGAGCTTAAGTAACTCATCCAAGTTCATCCGGTTAGTAAGAGGTGAAGCAGAGATTTAAACCCAGGTTATCAAACTTAGAGCTATAAACAAGGCTATTATCAAAGGTGATGTTAAAATAAATAGGAAGATTTTTCTCATCAGTCACTAGGATATTTGAAATGAATATTTTATATATATCTTCCTTTTTTCCTCCCTTCTTTTTCTTTTTTTCTCCCTTATTCTTCTTTTCTTTTTTCCTCTCAACAGATATTAAACACACACATATATATATA